CCCCAAAACCCCAAAACCCCAAAACCCCTTCGTTGTAACAAATATTGTTTTAAATGTGCTAGCTCATCAAAGCCAGATAATTAAGATTAATTTCTCTCTCCGAAGAGCGAAAGCAAGTACAGGAAGATCATGACAAGGTCCATGTAAAGGAACAAGGCTGCAATAATGTACTCGTCTGTATCCAGTCCGTGCTTCTCTGTGATCAGGTCGATATCTATCATGACGTAGACACAACAGATGACCAGCATGACACCGCTGACTAGAGTTACAACCCATCTGCTATTGATAAAAATGATGAGGAAGAGTCATGTCAAACTAATTGTGAAGCAGCAGTAAATCATCATCGCGAGGGTATGTGGTCTCCTACTTGTAAACAGAGAGACAGTTGCTATAGTCGCGAACATTACCAAGGCAACTCCTGCCATGATGATCACGGATTTAGAGTCATAAAAAGTAGTGATGGTTGCAACCATCATTGATTCAAAGAAGGTAAATGTAAATAGAAGGATATAATTCAGTGGAACTTTCCTTGCTGGTTTTCTAAAACACATCAACACGATCATTAGAGTTATCGTCAAAGCTAAACAAACAAAGTAGAACCAGATGTTGTCCTGCAGCCAATCTTCTATTTCCTGATGGGTCAAGACAATTGCACAGAGACCTACTGTGAACAAAGTTTGAGCTGTAAGGATCCCGAACACTTTTCTGAGAAATCCTTGTCTTTCTTCATCACCTTTGAGCTTGGTGATACAGTCAAGACAGTTGGCGCCCTTCCATCTTTTCTCACCTTGAACTGCTCTTTGTACATCCATAGGAGCTCTGACTGGATAAGGATTAGGTGCAATAGGAGGAGAAGGCCTAAGTATCCCATGATGTTGTGGCTGAGGACCAAGCATCTGATTCTGTCTATTACCTGACATCTGTACTGCATTAGTCTGCATTCCAGTCGCAGGACCAGCAGGTGAATAGACATTCTGATTCATCACTTGATCTGGTCCTTTAGTAGAATAATCGCCTCCCTTTGAAAAATCTTTTCAGTTTGAGTTATCCATTCCTTTGCTAGTCTCGATTGAAAAGTTATTTTGCATTGGAACAATAGCAGGTAGTGTGCTTCCAGCCACGGCATCATCAGGATTCACGATCGCAGGTGGCATGGGGCTTACTGAAATACCTCTCGGAGAATTCGAGTTCATTTATATAAAATTCTAAATTGATCTATTTTTAAATAAAATAGAGGGGTTTTGGGGTTTTGGGGTTTTGGGGTTTTGGGG